AAGTCGCCGACTTTGTCTGCAACAGCTGCCTATTGTTGCTGGAAATGTTGCCATATGAGAGAGCGGTGAGAGTAAACCTAAAGTTACAGGTCAACCAAAACAATGAGCTAAAAGATACTATAAGCCATGTAGAGCTGTGAGAGGAGCTGCAGAGTCTGGCAATAATCTCACTACAAGCGACGGCTTTATATTAAAGTAACCCTGTCTTTGATAGTTAATGTAAAACTATTGATTACAGCTAAGGTTGGGTACCCAAATCAGTACATTTACAAGTACCATCTGAATGATGCTGGTATTGCCGAGTATTGATTCACCTTAAATCCATCTGTGCCAAGAGGCGGTACCTCAGAGCACATCTGGGTGAGAATGCCCTGTTTAGACGAGAGGCGGAAGTGCCACAAAGCGCCTCACACCTGGAAGCCAGCCATGGAGCTCCGCAGAACTGCCAGGTTCAACTTCAGACAGGAAGTGTTGGCGCCCTGAAGCTGGGAACTCAGAACTCCAGAGAGCCAATCTGCTATCGCAACAGTACCGATCTACCGCGTTAGTTTCAGTGTCTGGTACACACACACACACATATACACACACACACACACACAAACAGACCAACAGACAAAGACAGATGATTATCTCTACATGTGATCAGAAAAGAGCAGAGGAGCAGAGATGCATTTTAGTTTACTACATCACCCCTGCAGCTTGTTAAAGAAACACATTTTTGTTATTACACAGAAAGTGAAGTACTGAAAAAAGGTACCATTGTGTATCGGTACCAAGTTCCAGATACCAGAACCGGTACTGGTTTAAATGTAAATGGTACCTAACCCTAATTATAGACACTTTGAGTTAATTATGAAAAATACAACTGCTTCAAATGTTTTATTTGTGGGAACAATTCACCAGTTACACAGACATTTCACTGGGATCAGATAGCTTTCTTTGGACCAACGATCACCTCAGTACTGCATACTTCCAACAGGTTACTGCGATCTTGAAAAACTCCTTCCCTTCTCATTAGTCGCTTCACACTATTGTCAACAAACCACATTTTTTTTTTTTTTTGTCGTTTGGTGCCAGTTGTCAGCAGGTGTCACTGACTGATACCATGGAAACATGGCTCTTCAGTCCAGAGTTAGGGCACGGTCAGGGTTGGAAATAAGCACCAGCCAAATGCTGTTAAAATATCCAAGTGGCTACTACACCAGCCAAAAACATGCCAATCTACTGAGTTGCTGGTAGACTTTGGAAATCTACCAGCCACAGTGGCAGATGGATAAAAAGTTAATTAAGAAAAGTTAATTTCCAACCCTGCCAGGGTGATATCTGTGCAGAATTTGGCCAGTACTGGATATGAAGCACACAAAAAAAAAAGAATGCTAGCTAGCTTGCGGATAAATACGACAAAATATGAGGTTATATTGGTGCATTTTCCATTTTGTTATGTTCCATGCGCATGTCCTGACTCACTGCTAGCCGGGGAGCATCACTCATACGGGCTGTTTGTATTTTTCACCGCAAATATCATACAATATTAACTGTTTAGACACAACAAAAATCACTGTCTCCTCTACACATACTTCTTTGCTGTTGGTTGAGGCTGTGAATACGCCGTTCAAATTTCTTCAAACTTGCACTCCACGCAGTGTGAAGATGTGAATTTGCTTTAATACTAGAGATTAGTATTTTAACGCCTTATGCTTACAGTAATTCTTACTTTATTTCTGACACTGTCTTAAGGCCAACACACAGCAAACTAACATCAAAGTGCTAGTGGCGACAAAGGCCAACTGTTGGGTCACCTCACAACGCCTGTGTCTTGGCCAAAAAGTTTCAACTAAACACACCACAAAGACTGCAGCCAATGGCCACCTAGCACGAACATTCTGTGCCTATGTGAGAGGAAATAACTCTCCACACCATCAGGCAGCAGTTGTCTGTATTTGTAGTTCAAAAAGGGAAAGTGAAAGACCAACAGAACAGATTCAAGAAGCTAATTAACCAGTTAGCACAACAACAACACAATGTTGAAAAGAAAAAGGATATTTACTGGCACTAGCAAACATTAATACAAACAAGCTCCATGATTAAAAAACATAATCTTATCTTATTTAACAACTTTGTTTTGATCTCATGCCCTCGTGACTTCAGTCATTTTCATTTCGCTTCTCATGTGCTGAGCTGAACTGCCAATCAAAGTGATTTCATTCACTGACAGGCTGCGCTGTCTCTGATGCTGACTCAACATGCTGAATCTGCCAAAAAAAGCCGACAAGGGTCAACTAGCACCGACGATGTGGGACACACCGTGCAAACTAAGGCGACAGATGCTCACCAACGGCCTGACATTTACCAGCGGCTGCAGCCCTAACTTGCATTAGACTTATCTAAGAGCAAAGTTAAGACTGGCCTAACACTCCAGACCGGTCTAAATTGTAAAACCTGCCCCTACTTCTGATTGGCTAGACATGCCAGATGCAGCTAATCATGTGTAGGAAGAAAGTGGATGTGTGAAAAGGCAGTGCAGCGATGGGCTTTTCAGAACCATGGACAGCATTAATCTAAAAACCACACGGTGCAAACTGATCAGCACCATGGACAGCTCCCCTGTCACAACACAGAATGGGACCAGAGTGTTCAGCCCTGAGCAGACAGCTTTCCTTCTGACCAATCAACTGGTCTAAAAAGAGTCAAATTTACTTATATCCAGGGAGACAGTATCACCAGGATAATGCTGTGTCGGCCCACACGCTGCCTGGGATCACAGGGAGGAGAGCCTGTTACTTTAACTGTTTTATTCTGGGTATGATGTGGCCGTGTTGTTGCTACTGACTCAAGGCTACTGAGTTTTTGTGTGGGGTGACCATTTCAATACTGCGAGCACGAATCAACTCACTCTTAGAAATGAAAAGGGATAAACAAATCATACAGCGGCCCAAAGAATGATACAAATATTAGAGACAAAGTATGTGAAGATTGGATGCTGATAATGATGCCGTCAGAGATAAGGGACAAAAGAAATCACAGCTACTCTTTGAGTCCGTAAAAAGATTGTTACAGTGATCTGAATGTGTTCCCGATTAGATATCATGATGATAACTGCTCACAGAACTGTGCATCACCTCATTACTGTGCACAGCAGGCAGCAGCAGGTTCTGGCAGTGTTCTGGTCAGAGATCAGGGAGGAGTGTGTTCGGGTGTTGGTGCTGGTGGTGCTGGGGGAGTGACTGATTGAGTCTGCTGCTGCTGACAGACTGATTACACTCCGAGAAGTGAACAGTGAGCAGTAATGCACCAGTATACCAAGGAGAGAGAGGCAGAGAGACAAAGTGGGAGAGAAGAAAGACAGAGAGAGAAGGGAGGGAGGGGTGCGCCAGACCATCCCTCATCCACCCCCCGTTCTCACCCCTCCCTCCCTCCCTCCCTCCTGCATCAGGGAGGAGGGCTATCCCAGCTTCCCATCCTCCCAGCATCGTGATCTCCTCTCTGCAGTATCTTCTCCTGCTGCCAGCTACTGTAGGCTTGGCCATGACATACGACACTTGCACCAAAAGTCACTTTCCTCTGCTTACAAGTGCACTCAGCTCAATTTCTGCACTTTAATTCCTGTTGTCACATGACCGCCCGTACATTTGGATGGCATAGTGCCCAGTTACCTGCTGTGAACTCCCTCAGATGTGTTGATGTGAGGGAGAGAAGCTCTTATAAAAAAAGCCGAGTTATATCCTACTTTATTTGCTCTGGTAACACCATAAAACACGAGGCTTCTATGCACTCATTATTAGAGCCACATCCTGATGAAGCATTGATTTTTCTTGTGGTTCAGTCACGTGGGATATTGTTTTTCTTTCTCATGAATAATACTGCCAGACACATTTTAGGATAACATTAACAGGTTTTGACATTTGTTAAAATCTTTAGGTATCTTACTAATAGTGCCGAGCCATGCAAAATTAATTTTAGAGATCTATACTGAACAATTGCTGCTGTTATATTAGTATTAAATTGGACTGTATATCAATCAGAGATTTAAGAAATGAGTCTGCTATTAAATCAGCCACTGTTGAAAGTCCCCCGACAATTAATAATGATTTTAGCCCCCCCTTTAAACCTCTATAAGACCTGCAGGGAGTCTCAAGATTCCACTTTTTGGACCATTACCCCTGGCAAGTAGCCTAAACTGGAGCTTACACATGGGCATAGACTATTAATGTGCGTTCAGTCCTCTCTTAGTGCTCTGCAGAACAATACACTTCTGGAAATTATTAATTTATTGCACCTCATGCAGAGGAAAACAGGCTCCACAGCATCAGAGAGAGCTGGTAAAGGCGTGCAGAACGTGACACATAAACAAGTTTAATTGCAGCTGACAGCAAAACTTACAAAGCCTTCCACCATTAATGCTAACTGGTACTGAGTCTGAATAATATGTTACTAAACTATGAGCTTGGGGATAGCACTGCCTCTGAACACTGTTATTATCAGATCCGTATAGATTTATGGTAACTGTAGCTTTATCTTTGCTGTGCATTATAATTATAAAAACAAAATTTAAGACAGCACCGTGAAAGCCCCACCTTTGCCATACCCTAATAACGCCCATGTATTCCTTCTGGATATGAAAATAAAGCTCAGCAGCAGCACACAGAGAGAAGGAGCTCAGCGGGGACAGCAGCTCTGATATCCGATATATGCCGCTATTTTGCGCAAAGTAAGAACGTATAGCCCGTTTCACACCGGTACAACACGGTGGTTTGACAAATATGTCCTATCACCCCTACTCTCACCCTCACCACACGTCATCGACTCAGCAACCCCGGTCAGAGAGGCCATAAGGCCACATCACACGGCTACGGTAAGTAAGTAATAGGATCTCGGATCTCCTGAGATTTCACAAGCCGCTTCGTGCGGCTCGCCGACCGCCGCCTCTCCATCCCCAGCAGCCCTCCAGAGCACCTGCCTGCCCCGGGAAGCAGTATGAACCAGTTTCATGGCACGGTTACCTGAACAGAGGCCTCTCCCGTGGCAACGTGGTTCTCTCTCGGGTCTTCCTCCGGGGGTCCAGCCGGTCCGACTCTCGCTCTCCTGGGGCTGCTGGGATTCCTCACCACGTTCTCTCTCTCCCTGGTCCGCTGGCGGAGCTCCGCTCTCTCCTCTCCTCACCCGAACAGCGTCGAGCTGCCGCGGAGGAGACGGCTCGGAAACCGGAAGTTGAGTTCTCCTCATTTCAAAATAAAACGATTTAAAACTGTCACGTTGGCGAGTGTATTTATATCATTTTCCCGCAATATTAAAATCAGCTTTCATGTCCATGGAAGCTGATTTAAATATCCTCCTGAGACCCTGTGTCCTCACAGAGGACATCACATTTTGGGTTTACAATACCAACACTTCCCCTAGAAATACCCACTTGCAGTTGGTTGTGTGCGTTCATGTTTAGGCTAGTGGTGTCCCAAAACAGAACTGAGGTAGTGGAAGTGGTTTCCAACACTTAAAACCCGCCCTAGATTCCAAGGGAGCCCCGACCCACACTTTCAACAAAGTGGAAGATGAAGTCAGCAACTTCTGCAAGTTTTGGAAAACGATTTGTTACTGTATGATCAGAATGTAGGCAATACAGACAACAGATGGTTGGACTAGCGTAAACTCATCAAAAAGAACTAGAAGACGTCATAGGCGCCTCCTGTTTTCAGCATTTCTTCTCTGTTGATTCATCAGATGGAGAAGCATAAACATAGCACACACCACGACACAAGCGCTGGAGTCGGCATTTTCAAACCTGAATGACTACCAGTATCTTGCGTCGCTACTACGCATGACGTATGTCTGCATGTCGGCCATGCCAATTTGCATGAAGTGGTGTCTCATTTCTTAGGGAAAGATCTCTACCCTAATATTTCTCACTTCCCACATCAAGGGTTATCTCGCAAACAAAGGCACTCAATACCAAGTGGAAGATTTAAGGGGTAGAAAAGGGATTGGGCCTTAATTCTACTTAACTTTGACCTATTGTCCTCGTTTGTGGACACTTTTTTGTGCCATCTAGTGGCAGTAAAACCACAATACACCAATCCATGTAAAACCAAGACAGCCATCTCTGCCAAGTCAGTCTGCAGCTAGTCTCGCTCACGCTGGGACGACTCTCACTTTAAGATTGGAGAAAAAAAAACACCCGGCTGCTTGTATTTCTTTCAACCAATTACAATCGTTCTTGGTGGTGCCACAGCAACTGTACGCTTGCAAAAATATTGCCGGGGGGAAACAGGTTTTGGTGTAACACGCCCAAAAAATATCGCCTACAGGACGCGAACCATGGCAGAAAAATGGCTACATCCCCGCAAGATCAAACACCGCAAAAGTTAGTAAAGGACGTGTTGAAAACTGCAACCAGACGTGGTAGGGCGGGACTTCAGCGGGTGGCTCATTCCACCCAATGAGAGGCTAATCTTTGCAGCGAACTTCCACCCACTCAGATTTGTCTGCAGCCGACCACAACACAAATGTGGACAAGGTCCACCAAAACCTAATCAAATTTTATGGTTGAAACTTGAATGAATGAATGTGAATGAATGAATAATAATGTTTGTAGTCTGATATAGCAACAAATTTGACCAATTTTAGCAACAGTAACAAGACAAGAAGCTGTTATTTAGAAAGTACTCATTTGAAGATATAATGAAATTATCATCAGCTCGTTGAGGGACATTGGGACTTTATCATCGTCTTGTTTGAGGATGTTGAGACTTTATAATCTTCACGGATGAGGATATAAGGACTTTATTAGCATTGAAAATGTTTATTTTCTTATACTTACCAGGTCCTACTAACCCTAGATAGCTAGGAGAAATTAAAAATGCTAACCAAACAAAAATGCGGGTCTCAGGAGGACATTATTGAATATCATTATAATATATTATCTATTCAGTGTTAATTTTGGAAGCTAAATTATATTTAGTCCTAGTCTTTAGATGCTTATTAGTTTTAGTCACATTTAGTCATTTTTATTCTTCATAATGTTAGTCTAGTTTTATTTGACAAAAGGTCATAGCAGTTTGGTCAACCTTTAGTCATTACACATAGTCAAAATGTTTCTTTTCCCTCTTTAAACTCATCCAGTTTGGCAAAGACAGGGATCAGAAATTAGAATCAAGGTAACAGATTGTATGAAAATTTCACTGACATTAGGGTTGCAAAGATATGAGATTAAAATCCAGGTTTCACACTATCAAGGTATTACAGAATTTATATTATCATCACACACATCACAGAATGATTCTTAAAGGAGTAAAAACAGAAGGGCTACTTTTGGTTCAACAAATATTTTATTACTATAACTGAAACTTGAAACCATTTTGTAATGGGAGTATGTGTAAAAAGCTTCCCCTTTGAAAATAACTCAAAATAATGATTCTCCTTCAAGTTGCATTTTCCCCCAATATGGTACAGTAGTTAAGCAAATGTACACGGAGTGATAAAAGGCAACGTTTATATTATGGTATACCTTAAAACTGGTATATGGCTGCAACACTAATTTAGATATATTTTTTCCCACATCTACAAATAATTTCTACACATTCACAAGCGTACATTTCTCCAGCAGAGGTTTTGACAGGTTTATGGGATGAGTGCAATTTTACTGGTTATCATTTGAGAAGCTCATAATATCTTTATTTATGGTCATCATGACACCACAAATAACTGATCTGGGACAACTATGATTTGTACCCTGGTTCATTGTAAAGCAGAAAAATAACTTTATTTCAGCCTGAATTCTTTCTTAATCTGCACCATGTTAGACTGGAGGTTTAAACTGATCTCCAGATCAACAGATGTCAAGACCAGCGGCCAGTGGCTGCTCGTTCCGCTGCCAGTCACTGGCTAATTAGTGGAGTTAGCTGCTAACAGTCACCACTGCAAATAAAAAATTAAACAAATCCGTTAAACATCTCCACCATCCACAGTCAGACACTCACAGCTGATTATTTACTGCTGAATTACAGCTCACAACTCGCACCAACAGCTGTTGGTGCTCCGGTGAGAGTGCTTGTAGGCTAGCGAAACATCTGGGTGCAGACTATTTTCTAGAGTTAACCAGCCAGTTGGCAGTCTGATCTCATACGGCCATTTATCTGCTTTCTAGTTCAAAACATTTTTCTAATACGTTTCATAATATAATCTTATCTTTAAAATGATAAATCTGGATGCTCACATTTTGAATGTCCAATATTCCATCACCAACATTTTCATCCCGTCAAATTTATTAATATCAAGATCTATTTTAGCTTGTCAACATCTTCGCCACTGAAAACATGGCTGTTGAAGAGTAGTTTTCATCAATTAAATGAATACTGTCCCTCGACTTTACACTTTTAGTTCACCTTTTGGCTATTTTCTGAAAAAATGAAACAAAACAAAAAAACCTCACAATCCTCAAATATATTATCTGCCCAGCACCAAACAGCAAACAAAGTCATGCTAAGATTAGCTGACAGTTGAACACATTGTTAGCGGAGCAGTTAGCAGCTAGCTAGCTAGCTTAACAATAAGTTCCCACTGGAGATAACTAGCGGAGGTCAAAAACAGAGTGAATAGAAGGGTGGGTATTGGACTTACATTTGCCAGGTTTCCAGAAACAAAACTCCAAATGGATGCTCATGTTATTTCGTAATTGCTGGGTGCGTAAATGAAGAGGAAACAGTCCTGACAAGTTAGCTAACGGTCAGCCGTTGGTCGTTCTACCATTGACACCAGTCTGCCCTTCCTGAATTTCATGTAGTTAAAGGCTTGTCTCTGAAAAAAAAATAGAATAAAATACAATAAAATCAAAATCAACAACAGTAAATCTTTTATTGAACAAACAAAAATATATTAACATTATAGACACACTGAATAATCCAAGTCCCTGTGTGTGTCCACATACTCAGCGTAAAGTCAGACATGTTCTCAATGGCTGATGGCCTCTGCCAGGGTTATCCCTTCTCACCAACTCTGTTTGTGATATTCATGGACAACATCTCAAGCCGCAGCAGGGGGGAGGAAGGGATCCGGTTTGGGGCCATCAGAATTGCATCTCTGCTTTTTGCAGATGATAACCTCTTGCATGCACTGCAGCAGTTTGCAGCCAAGTGTGAAACGGTCACGATGAGAGTCATCACCTACAAGTCTGAGGGCATGGTTCACTGCTGGAAATATTGGATTGCCCCTCTGGGTTGGGAGAAAGTTGCTGCCCCAGGCTAGGGAGTTAAAGTATTTTGGTCTTGTTCACAAGTGAGGGTAAAATTGAGCGCTCGGCATCAGCAGTAATGCAGGCACTGTGCCCAACTGTCCTGGTGAAGAGGGAGCTGAGCCGAAAAGCATAGCTCTCAGTTCAAGGGTTCTGTCTACGTTCTAACCCTCGTCTGTGGTAATGAGCTTTGGGTAGTGACCAAAAGAATGAGATCATGGATACAAGCTGCCAAAATATGTGTCCACCGTAGGTTGGCTGGGCTCAGCTTTAGAGATAGGGCAAGGTAGGTAAGGAGACGATGCCATTTACAGCAGCTAGTTTAGGTGCAAAATCTGACAGTCTGACAAAGACTGACAAGCTGCGCACATCTGCAAGTGGATATAACATAGAAATGGCAATGAGACACGCTGTGCTTCATAACTAGTAACTAAGGCTCACCAGGTTCCATCATAATAGCATGCACTGGGGTAGGTTATGGAGCTCAGATATCCGGAGGGAGCTCGGAGTAGGGCCGCTGCTCCTTTGTGTCAAGAACATCCAGTTGAGGTGGTTCGGGTACCTGATCAGGATCCTCCTGTGCACCTCTTGTTTTCCAGGTACATCCAACGGGTAGGAGGCCCCGGGGCAGACTCAGAACACACTGGAGGGATTATATATCTCATCTGGCCTGGGAACACCTTGGGGTCCCCAGGAGGAGCTGGAAAGAGTTGCTGGGGAGAGGGACGTCTGGGGGGTTTAGGAAGAAGAAGAAGAAGAAATACTTTATTAATCCCCGAGTGGAAATTTAATTTTTCCACTCTGCTGTCATACAAACACAGGCCCGACATACACACACATGCACAAACAGGGCCTATAAATGCATTCAATGTAGAGATGTCACAGTGACCTCTCCAGCTACCAGTCCACACTCCATGTGTGGTATGGACAGGGACTTGGACCAACGA